GTAATAGAGCTTAGCTAGTCATCTGTGTGAAACCACCACGGGTGTTCAATATCTCATATCTTCCCAGCTACAGCATTGTTTTCACTGATCTTAAAAAATGCAGTTGTGCTCTTCCAATATATGCAGAGGGCTGCTGCCAAGGTCATTTCCCTTTCTCTTCACTCACATGACACTCTTCATGCACCTTTTCCTGTTGGTCCATCCTCAAGAGCATCTCATACATGTATTCTCAAGTCCCTCCTCATCCTACATTTGCAAGGCATGGTCTAGTTCCTTCCTCTTGCTGGTCCAACACACAGCCTCTGTCTCACTTGCTGCATTAGATGCCATGACGTTTTTGCTTTATCAAGCCCAGCAGGAGATTCCTGTAAATAAGTCTCCATGCTCTCTCCTTCAAATCCTTCCTTGTCTGTGTGCACATATTCTAGGTGCTATCCAGTTCAGACATCCCCTCCAGCCGTGTCTGTTTTTGATGACTTTGTGTCATGATGAGATGCTGGGAGTGAGCACAGGATTTATGAAGTTCAATAACAAACTGAAGGAGTTCTCTAATTTAGGATGAGTAAGCTGTTTTCAAAGGCACAGTAGGAGTGCCTCACATTCTGGGATTTGCATCTTCTGCTTGATCAAGGAGCAAACCTGACAATGCTTCATTTCCATATTTACACATGCAAGAAATCAGCATGTAGTATACACTCAAGAGACTTCTGTACCATGGGTTATATTCAGTTTCCTATGACCTCCAGTTATGCAGGTATGAGCCCAGATCATTGTTTGAAAAATATACATTTCAATGTAATTATCTGGCTGTAAAGCTCTACTGTAAAGCAGATCTCTGGAATGGACTTAGTTAGAAAATTACCCTTTTGTAAACAGTTACTGTTAACTTCAGTGACTAAAACGGAGAGGTGAACTGAGACATGGAGCATGATGTGAATGGGTCAGGGTAACAGCAGTAAAAATGAAGACCTTACTTGAACAGGTCATAGGAAGGATATTCTCCACTACTTTGTTCCCTCTAAGAGATAGTTTGCTGAAGGGAAATATTTGGTAAATCAATGGATGAGCTCAGCAAGGAACAATCTCTTGTCACTGCTCCTAGCCCCAGTGACCCAGTTCTCAAGGATCACATAGAGCCCAAAGTCCAGAGACATCCTTTCTGACACTTGACTGTGGAAGGCAGTTTATCCTTCTCCTCCAAGGCGATGCTCAAGAGGCTGCTACAAAAGAAAGTCTTACTAGTAGCAAAGTAATGAACATGACACCCTCAGCAAAGAGCCATGCTCTCTGGGGAATGACCCTCATCACCTCCTCCTCTGTGGTTTGGAGCATGCTGCTGGCTTGAGCCAGCCACAGGGTCTGTGGGTGGCCACAGCATCGTCTTTTGGCATCCATCACCAGAACATCTCCTGTGGGACCTCACAGCATCTGAAGTCTGTGAGGTTTCTTAGCTGTTTGGAAGGTGTCCCACATCTTAATTTCTCCAGGGAGATTTCCACTCATCTTAATACCCCGAGAGTAGTTCAGTGCTGTGCTTGTTGCACTAGATTAAATAATAAAAAAAAAAAAAAAAAAAAAGCCAATTTAGATATGAAGAATAAATGATCAGCATCTTTCAAAAGATCTCAGTACACTGGGTATTTGAGCTCTTTGATAATCTGCCTGTGGCTGTCACTGTGGCAGCTGCAGCTTGCTGAGTTCCTTTGAAAAACTGGTCCCTGTGTACTTCTCTCAATGTGGATTGCATTTGTTTAAAAATTTGGCTCCATTTCTGGGTGGTGAGTTCATGAACAGTGTAGGGGCCTAAAATTCATTACTTTTCAAATAGGTTTAACTGCTTTTGAAAATTTTACTCAAAGACTTCTTTACAAATTTTGTGCACAGTTAAGGAGAAAGAAGTTTGTCTCTTTGCAACTATCATTTAGAGGCTTGATAAAGGTTGAGAGCTGACAAAATCATCTATTGAAAGTATCTGTGGAATCTCTCATTGTCCAGCATAAAAACATTACAATGCAGGACCAGGCTTGGGAGACCTGCATTATTCTATTCACAACTCTGCCAACAGCCTGTTAAGTAACATCGTGCCAGTCACTTTTTGTCTGCATGTGCCTGAAGGTTACCCCCAGTGAAATATGGGTAATGATATTTACCTTGCTTTGGAGAGAGGTCTGGGAGCTTGAAATGAACACTACGGTGTCTATGCTCATTTAAAGGTCCAAATGTTTTGTCTGCTCAGGGAAGATAAAGCTAGACAGCATTCATTTTATGATGAAAAAAAGTTTAATAATTAACAAAACTTCTCATATGCAAATTATGACAAGACAAAAATATCTCTAGGAAACATATTCAACATTTCTAAGTTACGTATGGGGAAGTAGGCTAGGCAAGAGTGAATAGAGCCTGTGTCCTGCATGTTGGTAGCAGTCATGTAACCCAAAGCAGTGTATTAAGTCTGGCATAAACACTGAATGCTTTTGTAATCTAAACTAAGTTTCAGGCTTCACAGAACTTGTTTTTGTTTGTTTGTTGGTGGTGGTTGTTTGTTTGTTTGTTAGTATTTCTGTATGTATTTTCAATTTCTCATTCTCTATGATCAAAAGAGGCTGTCCTAAACCTGAAGCCTGGTTTTATTAAACCCCCAAAACTAGAAATCTTTTACCTTAGACTTTAAATGTGTCCTGGAATAAAATAGCTACCCTGAAATGACAAAGGTGAAGTGGATCGTCTCAGAGAACATGAAAGCCTCTTCCATCACATGTGAAAACACCTGGGACATGCTGCTCTGCCTACACTCATCTGAAAAGAACAGAAGAGTGACCCAAATCAAAGTCTGCTGGAAGATAACAAGTGGTTCCAGCAGTGTTTTCCCTTTCCTGTCTTTGTTCACCCCACAAAGTTCACCATGTAACAGTATGAAAAATGTCAGCACATAATAATTTAAACTGTGATGAATCATGACTTAGTGGCTCTACTAGTGGGTTTTTGGCAAATGAATCATATTGTTGTCCATCTGGAAGACTAAAGGCTCATGGTGAGAGCTGGAGCTGTTATGGCTCTCAGTTGTGGGTTTACAAATCCCAGAGATACACAGAATGGTTTGGGTTGGAAGGGACATTAAAGTTCATTTAATTCCAGCTTCCCTGCCCTGGACAGGGACACCTCCCAGCAGACCAGGTTGCCCAAAGCCCCATCCAGCCTGGCCTTGAGCACCTCCAGGGATGGGGCATCCACAGCTTCTCTGGGCAGCCTGTGCAAGTGCCTCATCACCCTTTGAGTAAAGAATTTCTTCCTTATAGCTAATCTAAATCTACCTTCTTTTAGTTTAGAGCCACTATCACTTTTCCTATCCCTATGCTTCCTGACAAGGAGTCCCTTCCCAGCTTCCCCAGTCCGCTTTAGACACTGGAAGGCCACTGTAGGGTCTGCCCTGAACCTTCTCTTCTCCAGGCTGAACAACCCCAACTCCCTCAGCCTGTCTTCCTAGGAGAGGAGCTCTAGTTCTTTAGTCATCCTCACGGAAGCACACATTTTTCTGTTGTGAAGCCCCTCTGACTGGACTCCCAACAAACCTGGGGGAACTCCTGGGAGAGGTGTTCCACCGCACACTGTGGACAGGCTGCTTTAGTAGCCCCATGGTGTCTCTCCATGCCTTCAACACGTGTTCTGTTGTACCAAACACCGTGCTGCTTCCAGCTGGGCTCTGCCCAACCTGGCAGCCTTGCACAGGGCTGGCCCCAACCCACTGAAGCACTTTCTCTAGTGCACATGGATCCGGCGCAGTAGCTCTGTGTCCTCTTTTATTTATTTATTTATTTATTTATTTTTTTAACATTGGCAACCTAAGGACTATTTTTAAAAGCAGATGAAAGGAATACCAGAAAATCTGGCTTGTTTTCCATTCCCTTGAGCTCTCAGCACAGCACTCTCTCGGGTGCTTGGTTTGAAAACATATAAGTAGCCCTACTTAAAGTTAAGGGTACACATAAGTCCTTTGTTGACTGAGAGTGAACAGCAGCAAAGCAGCTGAAAACACTGACCTGGGTCACAAGAATGAGGCAGAAAAACAGCTCCTGGAGTTTCCCTCTTATGATCCCATTCTGGGACATGGCTCCCAAGTGCCTGGATATTTTCCAGATCATGTTTTGAAATATTTCCCTTCTCAGCAAATCAATTATCACGCTTCTGTTGTCCAATGTCTGATTTGAATCACCATCTCCTTCACTTCCAAGTACTTCTAGCAGTTGATAAAACATTCTTTTTGCCTGCAAAAATGAGCAGTTGCAAGGGGAAATGTAAATTACAGCTTCATTTAATTTTGCAGGCTGGATTCCAAATTAGCTGTATTTTTCTGCAGTCCAGAAAGTCCTTGTATATAATCATAAATAGCCTATCTGTTATAAAGCCGTAAGGCATCAGTGTTGGTTCTGTCTTAATTAAGCTCTAAGAAAGAGCATTTTCAGACTTTTTATAATCTGAGTCAGTCTCTCTCTGCTGCATCTAAACGTGTGTTACCTGTAGATGCCATTATGATGGGTACCTCATAAGTAGCAATGATTGCCTTGAACAGTAAACTTTGTCCCTTGCTATTGTTACCTCCAAATTAAAACATAAACAAAAAATGTGCAGAGTTCAGGCTTCCTTGGTTAACTGCAGGTGCATGGTGTTAATACGCATTTGCCTGCTTTAACTATGTTGCTGATTTTATCTTAATTGGCTTTATTCGGTTCATTTACCCTGGGGGATGAATTTGGCTCCATATCATTACACTCTTTCATTGGAACAATTGAATACTGGAGTGCAAACAAAGTAAGCGTGCTCTCATTTAAAAGTGCCCAAGAGCTTTTCTGGTCACATTATTTGCAGTATAAAACAAACTTTTATTTTTAGTTTTATTTTTGGCGAGGAAGTGAACCTCATCTCACGAGGTACTAACATCTAAAGAGTTAACGGAGATTTTTTTCCCTCTTTTTTTCTCCTACCCAGGCAGTGATGAGATTGTCCAGTAGGTGGCTGGCATTCCCCGGCACTAGCCGGCGGCTCCCACGGAATGACTGCGATCATTTAAAGCAATCCTGCTCTCATCATGGGAAGCCGGGGAAGAATTGACGTCCGGAAGATCCTGCCTATAGGATCCGAGCCGTCAGAGGAGCCGTGCTTTTCCCTCACTTTAAATCCAGCCGAGGAGTGCAGGTGCTGAAAGCCAGGAGATATGGGGAATGCAGCATGACGGCAACTACCAAAAGTTCTTGCTGGCTGCAATTCCCTTGTTTCAGACTCCGTTCTGCTCGGCAGACCTGGAGCTGGGAAATTAACTAGCCTTGATTTTGAAAATGCCTCCCACTGACTGGGCTTTGAATGTGATAAATGGCCTTCCAGAGCTGGGGAGCAGCTAACAGCAAGACAAGACAATGAGAAAAAGACAAGTTCCAGGATTCAAACTCTGGTAAAAGATGTACTCCATTCAACTTATAGAAGCTGTACTGGTAAGCAATGTGCAGTGGCTTTTTTGTTTTATTTATTTTAAAAATGTTTCACAAAGTGAAATGACTTTTAAACTTTTCTGACTGTTTAAAGAGATCAAGCGGCAGCAAAATCAAAGGAAGAAATTTTATTCAAGGATTTTCAAAAAGTTGTCTTCTGAGAAAAGTAGGACAATGGCATCTGGAGAGTGCCTTCTGCTGGACCTGGAAACAGAAAACTTCATCCTCTACAACATTTCTGTCAACCAGAGTGCAAACCTCTCCATCCTCAGCGATGAGTGGTTCTACCCAGCCTTCCTCTATGCCATCCCCACCATTTACGGGATCATCATTTTGATAGGCCTTATCGGCAACATCACTTTGATTAAGATCTTCTGTACTGTGAAATCCATGAGAAATGTCCCTAATTTGTTCATCTCCAGCTTGGCTTTGGGAGACCTGCTGCTCTTAGTGACTTGCGTGCCTGTGGATGCCAGTAGGTACCTTGCTGATGAGTGGCTCTTTGGCAGAATTGGATGTAAACTTATCCCCTTCATACAGCTCACTTCTGTAGGGGTGTCAGTCTTCACTCTCACTGCTCTCTCAGCTGACAGGTAAGCCTGCTGCCATAGCTTTGAAAACTGCATATTTCCAGTTCTGTAAAATGCAAAATTATGGACATCTATTTTCAGGTCACAAATACATTGCTTGTATGTGGCATTTTTAACCTAACATTGGAAAAAGAAAGAATTCTCTTAAATTTCTGGTAGTTATGAGCACAAAACTTGAGGAAGAAACAAGCTGAATGCAGGTTACTTTTTCTGGGTTAAACTGTGCAGTTTAGCAACTAGTTAAACTTAGTTAAAAGAAAACCAAGAACAGATCAAGCCCAGGGAGGAAAAATAGCAATTCATGAAAGATGCTCTACTAAAAGACAGCATGTCCAGATTTGCAAAAAGATAATTGATCCATACTTCATGAAGTGTGAAGGCACTGGAACAGCAATTTAAAGTGCAGTTAGAATCAATTTTTTCTAGTGGCTTGCTTCCTTAGGGCTAACACCATATGAGGCAACATTTCATGAAATATGTTCAAAGTACTCAAATAAAGATGCCTGAAGTCAGGCATCTCAGTTCGCTGTAGTCAGTACATTTCCCTTGATTAAGTGGTATGCCCCATAGCCAACCAAAATTGATCTGTGCTGCTGGTTTGGAAATTTTGTCTTCCAATAAAATTTGGTGAAAATAACATGTAATAGCTATGCTACTTTAGACTTTATAAAAAAAAAAAAAAAAAAGTTTTTCTACAGATGATAAGCTTCTAATGAGCCAGCTCTGTTTTGTATTTCTGTGAGGATTTGGAAAATTATCTCAGAGCATTCAGATTTAAAATCAAAAGACCTTGAAATCGAATGTTGTTTTGAAGAATGAAGCCTTCCTTTATGAAAAGATTTTAAGTATTTATTAGACTGTTGGCCTTCATAGAAACTCTTATGCACATCATAGAGGCCAGGATATCTTGTTTCTAATTTTGATGCTTCAGAAAGAGACCAAGGAATACATTGTCATCAATACACAGGAAATTTCAAAGAAATAATAAGATTTCATATGAGAAAAATCCTTATAATTTCTTCTGCTCAAAAGTAGGACCCAGAAACCATCTTTCTTGGTCACAAGGAAGTGGAAATAGCCTTGTTTTAGGTAGTGCCTTGCATGCCATGCTGTGTGTCTCTACTTTAAAATATCAGACTGTTTATGCTCAATTTTCAGGGTTGTTCACATACACATTTCAATATACCTTGTGGGATTTCAATAAAAGCAGATCACTCCACTGTGTTTCAGAAACAGAGAATGGTCAATATGTTTTGTATCACAGCAGTTCAACTCCTCTGCGATAGTTATGTATAAAAATAGCACTGCCTGCCCCAGTAGCAGATAACAAACATGCCTATGTACAGACAAAAGTCTTCAGACAATTTACTGTAAAAGCACTGGGAAAATGGGAAAACTGCACAAACTCTTTACTAAAGGATCACCTACACTTTCACCCTTGAGTTTCTTGTGACAGCTGGAACCCTGCTCTGGAGAAAATATTAGGAAAATAAGTATTTCTCCAGGGAACTCATCTTTCCTAAGCTCTGGTCAAAGTTGTTTTTAAAAAGTGTCAGGAAAAGAAAAATGCATCATAAAGAAGATTATCTTAGAGAGATTTCTTGCTGTCTGATCATGTCACATAAAGTAAGCAAGGCAAATGTTTTTACTGAGCAGCACATCAATAGTATTTTTTTGCCTGAAGTAAGTCAACAGAGCAGAAAACAGCAGCAGTACCTAGCCTGGGTTTTAGTGACTTTAAATTCCCAACTTTGGCATTGTCTGAATCCTCTTAACCATCATGCTGCGCTGGTAATCAAATTTTGCAACACTTTTCCAAGCCACTTAGCTATTAGGGAGATGGGCACATGTGTGCAAGACTTTATGTTCCCGTCTTCAAGGGACAATTTTGCTCTCTTTGAATGCATCTCTTGTTCAGTGTAGAAGGAGATAATAATAAAACATTTATGTTTATTAGATCTATGAATCTTAAATGCTGTGCACTGGACCACAAACAGGACTTATATATTATGTTTACTAAAATTTTCATTTTGGTATATTAGCAGCAGTGCTAGGATAATTTTCTCATGGAATAATATGGTAATATGGTCTACAGTTTGCCAACTCACAGATCATTGGTCTATCTATATTTTCTGAGAACTGTCACCCCAAACTCTAGTACACAGTATTAATCATGTCAGAATCATTAAGAAAATAAAATGTACAGGGAAAACTTCCAAGACATGCTTTGGCTGTGAGCAGCATGGTGATGCCTGCCCAAGTCCATGGATGGACCATCAGCCCAGCACTCTGAGGTGGCCCCTAGGACAAGGAAATGCGGACCCTGTAGCTTGGAGTGGTTCCATAGCAGGCTGATTCCAAGGTCAGATGTGGCCTTGCAGGAATTGTAAGCAGCAGCTCAGCCCTGCAGGGAGATGTCTGAGGGCATTGTGGTCAGAGCAGGGTAGCAGGAGGACTCAGGAGTCTGGTGGGTGACTCTGCTCAGGCACAGCTCGTCTCCCTCAGCTTTTGCTATCTGAATGAAGGAGCCCCTCATAGCAAGCAAGGGACACCTAGCCAGCAAAGTGTCCCATAGTCCATGGAGAAAGGTACCTCCAGAGGTAATAGGATAAGCCACCGTGTCAGGACTCCCTGCCTCCTTGTGTACAGACAAAGTCTTGCTGTTTAACATGAAACCCACCTGAGATGCTCACATGAAACATGCGAATTTCCCTATTCTCATGAATCAAAGCCATGGACCTTTACAGAGAAAAACCTCCAAACCCATCTGATGTGAATAACACTTCATAGCACTGATTCCAAGGAAAGGGAGGCTTGTCAGTGCACCACAGACTTTTGTCTATAAATCATTTTCTGGGAAAAAAGAAAAAAAATGCTCAATTATAGTCAGCTTCTATTAACAAAAGCTAGTAGGAACAACTGTAGGCATTGCTGATGGTATTGTGGTAATGCCTAGAGACCTGGGATCTCTGGGATCAGAAATCTGCTGTGCAAAGAAAAAGCAGTGTGATACAGCAGGGTTGTTCCTATAGAGGTGCCCATTGAAACACAGTATGAAAAGCAACGGGTGGATATGATGAGCAAATACACTGTGGCAGAGAGTGGTGAGGAAAGTCTGCCAGAAGTTACCACAATGCCACAAACCATCTCTGTTGCTTTACATCCCCTTCTGAAGACCAGGGGCCCAGTTTTAATACGTTGTGCTCAGCCCACACCATGGATGCAGGGGTGTACCTTCCTGAGGTACACTTTTATTCTCTCCATCTCCACTTCATCATGTGTTAGGCAGGGTTAATAACCTCGACTCTGTCATCTCCTGGTGACTGCAGATGCTGAGCTAAGTGCCAGCCTTCACCACAGAGCACTCAAAGCAGCTCAGTGGTTTGACCCGCCAAGACCTAGAGGTTATACGGAGGATTGGTTGCTCACTTGCAAACCTCTCTCAGAATAAAACAGAAGGACAAACTGCCAGCTTCATCTCTTCCTGCAGCGGGAGTCTCCCAGGCTGTGAGGTGCTCTGTGTGCACATGCACACGTGCAGGCCTGCACAGGTTTGGTTACATAGGACATAGCCATGGGGTTCCTGGGTGTTCAGCCTGGCTCTGTGTTCAACCATGAGATTGCATCAGGCTAAAGTTAAATTATTTGTGAGTGTGAGGTAGGGCAAAGTAGATTTAAAAATATAAGAAATGTATTTTCTTCCAGACCACTCTGATGGCTGCATGGTGTCCTCATCTGTCTGGCCACATTTGCAGGAGCAGTGGGAGCTGCCTGTGAGACTTTTCCTTTGAGCCTGGCAGATTTACAGAGCAGCCAGGACAGGGTTAAGGCCTGTGGTGTGCTTACAGGAGTGATAAGGCACCAGGGCTGAGTATACAAGAGCAAGGAAACAATCAGTCGACGTGTATGTATGCGTGTTTGTGTGTTTTAGAAGGGCTGCAGATGAGGCTGGCAGGGAAAGGACATCTGTCTGAGCTGCTCTTCTGCTCTGTCAGAACATCAGATTTCTTCAGCTACTCTTCAGCTCATCCCTGCAAAGAGGGAGCTTGAGTTTGCTTGTCTGCCCTCCTCTTGCAAGGGACTCAAGGTACAGAGGCAGCCTGCACGAGTGATCACACCTGGGCTGAGAGCCCAGGCAGAAAAGCCAAAGCTGGCTCAGCAAGTGACAGAAAATTAAGGAAAATCTTTGCACAGTAAGAGGAAAAGCAGCCCATTTAATTGCCCTTGTCATGGGAGATGTCTTTATTTAATTGACTGTTTCTCCCATGATTGACAGGGTTTAGACATTTGCATTTAAATTAGGCAAGCTGTCAGGCACTGATCATACTTGTCCACTGTTTTGCTGAGACTGTAAAAAAATCAAAACGCCCTGGTGCTCATGCGGTGAAGCCTTCCTGAAGTAATGTTGCTTTTACAAGTACACAACAGAGCAAGTGTAAAGCATAATTGGAGTTTGCAAGTGGAATCTTTACCTTAAGCACCTTGCATTATCCAGACTTTAGTGCTGGAAAACTGCAGGAATGCCTGACACCCTGAGCTGCTGCCAGCCAGTCATAGGAGGCAGTGACATTTATTGTAGAGAGACACATGGGGTGCCATTATGAATATGAGGTTAGGTGGCTTACCTTGGTGAGACCAGCTGCAGATGACAGGAATTGTAGTCACATGGGAGCTCTGAGACCTGAAATAAGGGGATTAACAATGGCAACCACTCTTGCAAATGTTGAGCTCAGTGTTTGGATGCAGGCATGGATGCAGGGATACAGCAGTGCATCCAGCTGCCCTGGACCCCTTGGAGTGGGTCACAGCCACAACCTTCTGATGTTGCTCTGAACTCACACATAAGTTTGTTTATACAAGAAAGACCCATACAATCCTCTCTCTCCCCCACACCTCCTACCCCCCAATAAATAAATAAATATATAAAAATCAGTGGTGGAAGGAAAGAAACACCGAATTTCTAGAAGGATGTCTCTGAATACACTAAAAATATTTGTTTGTTGGACTTATCCCTTTTGTGCATTAGATGTCTCCTGCTCCCGCTACTAATAATACATACGATAGCAGAGAAGCATGTCAGTTCATTTGTTTTATTTTACTATGCCAGATTATGTCTCCACAAGAGGATTAAGTGTGCCACCTTGAAATAAAACTGATTTCCACAGAGTTGATTTACAGAATGATGCTTTTCTTTAATACATCATTTACAAAGTGTCAGGTCCACAATTATGAATTCATTCCAGGCAGTCTAGTTACAGCATTGATGAAATCCCCTCAGGTCACTAAGGCACTATCTGGGGGTAATTCACTTGTGCTGTAAGTTAGTGGGCAGCCTCAGGAAGGTTTTGAAAGGGTGGCTGAGAAAGCCGCTCTCCAAACTGCCAAGACAACCCCGAGTCTGGTCAATGAAAACTGGCAGAATGCTACCCTCACATGTTCATTCTGGATCCACCACCGTGTCTCAGTAAGAATATCAGTCTTTCCAAGCCAGAGAAGAAGTCCTGAGGGGCTTCAAACGCCATCCCAAAGTCTTTCTTCCCACTGAAGCACTGGGCAGGCTGTACCAGGTCTGTGCTGCTGGCATCGTGGCCCTGCCGCTGCTCTTCCTGTGCTGATGGCAGAAGGTGCACTCAGGAGATAGAGGTATCTCTTTCAGCCCCTGCTCCGAGTTTTAGATACTGTGTTGCTGCCTACTGTGTCAATACAATATAAACACTCTTAACACCCTTGGTTTTAGCTCTCATTTCCTAAGCTCCTGCGTCCGTCTGTACCAAGAGAAACAGATCAACAGCACAAACTTTCAGAGTATCTTGATTAGCTGGAGCAGATGGCTAAAACATGATAGATGCAGTAGTATAGCCGGGAGCATTAGAGCTCCCGTTCATATCAGTGGGACCAGAGCACGAATCCGAGGCTAGAGTCATTGCTAATGTGTTGGAGACTGTCAATATTTAAGCAATCAAAAGGAAGAAAAGTTGGATTACCTGTTGTTTACATTTCAGTAAAACCTGAAAACCCCAATCAGTTGTCATGGTCTCGTGGTATGAGGTGCTGTGTGCACCGTTAGCAAGGAGAGCAATTGGCTGTGGAGAATTTGCCAGCCCCATCAGCTCAGGCATTCGTACGTGGCATTCAGATATGGGCAACAGCCTGGCCAAAAAGAGGAAAGTGGATTTCAGCTGAAAAAGCTGGCCTGCATGTGCAGTGAAAAACCCTGTATCTGCTCTGCTGACAGGCAGCCTCTGCAAGAACCTGTTTTCTTTTTATTTTGAGAATTGACTCAAGCGTTAGCCCTGCAGAGACCCCTCAGGTTGCCTCTCACCAATTCTGCACCCATGCACCCAGCTCACCCATGCCATGTGAGCAGCTGGGGACCATGGAGTCCTGCCCGAGCTCCTATCAGCAGGCTATTTGGTTTGCCCTCACACCATCTGATCAAGTAGAGAAGGGAATTTTAGTGTTCAGATACCAGCCTGTGTCCTGGACACAAACCAAAGTGATGCTTGAGCCCATTCCAGTGGTGAGGCACCAAAAGGCGTCCTAGCACCAGCCAATATGAGTGATGTAGAGAAAGGCAGAAAGCTGGATTCCCTTGCAGAAAACTGCCTTCCCGATCCCAGGCTATCATTTTGACCAGAGTGCAGAAAACTGCCAAGAATCAGAGGGAAAAGCATTGCCAAAGCTCTGTCCACCCTGTCCTCACCTGCCCTCTGGTTACAGTCTCTGTGGCTCCTTGGGAAGGCAGGATGAAAAATACTACAATGGCACTCTAAGAGTCAAAACTATTTCTTCATACCTGCAGACAGCTCTGAAGCATGAGATTTAGTGATGTCTGGTCTAGTGGCCTGGGGGAACCAGAGCTGCAGATGCTGGGGCAGAACCAATGGCTCCGGCCATTCAGTTCAGCTGCTTTTCTTGCCCACCCCCCACCACACACAGAGGCTGCTGCATATCTCATATCATTTGTATTAAAACAGATCATTTCAGTGACACTAGGCAACTTTAAAATATTCTAAGTAAAGGTGCCCTTTCCCTCTCATTGGTCTCCAATATTCTGCTACCCTCACTGCTTGGAAATTGCCATATTTCAATCTAAATTTGTCTGACCTCTGACCATTCCATTTGTCTATGCCTTTCTCAGCAGGATGAAAATATCCCTTACCTCTGCTTATCTTCTCAATATGAAAATGCCTTCATAGAATCATAGAATCAGAATCATTAAGGTTGGAAGAGACCTTCAAGATTATCTTATCCAACCATCACCAATATCACCCACTAAACCTAAGTGCCATGTCCAACCTTTCCTCGAACACCCCAAGGAACGTGAGTTCCTTGAACACCCCCACTGACACTTCCTTAGGCAATCAAGGCTCCTTGGAAGGCATCATTCAGCTACACTGGCTTAATAACCGGTATTCTCTGATCCCATCTCCTCTTTGCAGGCTGTTCTGAACTCTTCCTGGTATTTAGTGTTTTTCTTAAAAGCATATGGTACCACAGACAGATGATTCACCATGAACCTACAGTGCTGGAGGCACCACAGACACCATCACTTCCATGCTACTATTAATCGAATTAATAACAACAGTCAAGGATAGTGTTCAACTATTTTAGGCTATTTTTTAGACTATTTTTTAGACTATTAGCCCCAAAATGGAGCTAAAAGTTGATATGGAGGTAATGGCCTTTTGGGACACCTGTCTTTGATGAAGTCAAAGAAAGGACATACACATCATATAAGCATCATATAACATAGCTGACAGCTTCATACTATGGGACTAGCTCAGGTAGTGATTGCACTAAAGCCATGACACCATAAGAATGGCATGGGACATATGATTGCCAGGTGTATAAGAGACACTCCAAAGTCTTGGTCTCCTTTCCTTGAAAGCTCCCCCACTCCTTTTTTTTTTTTTTTTTTTTGCCATAATCTGCTCGCTTGGGTCCTACATACACTGCACTCGTATGAGTTAAAATGGTTTCTGTTAGACTATGGGCATTTATCCCAATGACTCTGACATATTTTTTTGCAGTCTGCTCAGCCACTGTGCCATCTGCAGACTTTCCCAGCAGAAGCTTTACAGCTTGCCCAAGGCACCTGATAACCGCAGTAAATAGTACTGCAGCTAGAGCAGGTTCCCAGGACCCAGTCTAGAAATGGTTTCCACACACTGCTACAATTTTACCAGCATGCTTGGGGACCCTCTGGGGTTGCCATGGGGCTCGAGATCCTCACCTGGCCCAGCTCCCCTTCTTGAGGCAGGAAATCTATTTTTAACCCTTGTTCCGTGGGAGAGGGGCAGGGACCACTTGGGCATGGATGGAGAAGGGAGGAGCATGCGTGTCTGGGCACACTCTTGGGCATGTCTACATCTAACAAGGTCACCCACAACAGCATGCCCAAACAGGCTGCTAGCTTGTATGTCAGCAGAGCACACACCCTTCTTACATCACCTACAACCTTGTGACAACAGAGAAAAAAAAAAAAAAGACTAGCCTTGCCATGCATTAAACAACATGGACTAATATTAATTGTCATCTGTTAGTACTATTAGCCTCTCCATTATACCATCTACTACTGGCCTTAGGTATATATATATATAATTCTTGCACTTTTCACAGTCACAACTTCCACCTTTTTAAACTTCACAGTTTTGTAGCCAGTTCTTCAGTTCGTGGGAATTTCTCCAACTTTTCAAGATTTGTAAAAAAATAAATAAATAAATAACACTAGTTATTCCCCAGCTGGTTTCTTTAATACTCTTAGGTGCAAATTATTCAGGCTTGCTGGTGTGAAAATATTTTGGGCTTGCAGATGTTGGCTCACATCCTCTTTAACACAGCTGGTGACTTTTCTGCTACATCTAGAGCACTGCACACAAGCTACGGACACCTCCTCTGCATTTGGGCTTAAATATATAGTGATTGCCTTTCACCTTGTTTCCATCATTGTTTATATCTTCACTGTTTATGTGTATGCCTGACATAATGATTTTTTTTGTTCCCGATGTATTTAAAAATGGACATTTGTCTGTCACACAGTGACCTTTGATATTTTGTTGGCTCCTCCAGCTTTCCTTATCAGACACCAACATTTTTAAACTCCAATATTTGCTGTCATTTACTTTTGCTTGTTTTCCCATCTGTTGCATATTGATTTTTTTTTAATTACTTCTTTGAGGTTCTAGCACAACTCTTCATTTTCTCTCACTCAGGTTAGCTTTTTGCCCTGCATGTTTTTTTCAGGGCAAGGTGTGGCAAAGGAGGAAGCCGGTGGTCAGCTACTAATGTGTCATTAGCATTTCTCACTTTACATTTGCATTCCCAGTCCATTGTACTGGCAGCTGCTTTTAACTTCAAGAAGCCTGCTTCTTTTAGGTTCCATATATATAGAGAGAGTGTTTTGTCTTTTTTCCACAAAACAAAGATAAGGTGCCACGGCTGTGCACTGTAGTGTAAGTGCTACAGTGTAAGGGACTGTTAAGCTGTAGGTCAGTGATGAGCTCTTCTTTCTCTGTCAGAGCAAAGCACAATATTGATTTATTGCACATCACAGGCAGGACTTCTGGGGTTGAGAAACTGCCATTTTTAGAAACTCCAATGAATTTTTATTGCAGGCTCTGTAAGATATTCAGCAGTTACCTCATGTGTTTAGGTTAACCACTGTTGCTCCTTTTGTGCACTGAAGGTTGTGCTTTCCAGAGAAATCAGGCTGACTGTCTAGTGAGATGAAGGGTCTGCATCTGAGGCCCCAGCTTTAGTTTCCCTGTTAAAATTTTTATTCTATGCCCTCAGTCCTACACCATTGACACCATTTAACAAGTCCAAGTGCCGGGTCCTGCAGCCTGGGGTGCAATAACCCCAAGCAGAGCTACAGGCTGGGAGATGAGTGGTTGGAGAGCTGCCAGGCAGAGAAGGACCTGGGAGTGATGGTGGACAGTCGGCTGAATATGAGCCAGCAGTGTGCTCAGGTGGCCAAGAAGGCCAACAGCATCCTGGCTTGTATCAGAAACACTGTGACCAGCAGGGCTAGGGAGGTGATCGTCCCCCTGCACTCGGCTCTGGTGAGGCCGCACCTCGAGTACTGTGTTCAGTTTTGGGCCCCTCGCTACAAGAAGGACATCGAGGTGCTTGAGCGGGTCCAAGAAGGGCGACGAAGGCTGGTGAGGGGCCTGGAGAGCAAGTCCTATGAGGAGCGGCTGAAGGAGCTGGGCTTGTTCAGCCTGGAGAAGAGGAGGCTCAGGGGCGACCTTATCGCTCTCTACAGATACCTCAAAGGAGGCTGTAGTGAGGTGGGGGTTGGCCTGTTCTCCCATGTGCCTGGTGACAGGACGAGGGGGAATGGGCTTAAGTTGCGCCAGGGGAGTTTTAGGTTAGATGTTAGGAAGAACTTCTTTACTGAAAGGGTTGTGAGGCACTGGAACAGGCTGCCCAGGGAGGTGGTGGAGTCACCATCCCTGGAAGTCTTTAAAAGACATTTTAGATGTAGAGCTTAGGGATATGGTTTAGTGGGGACTGTTAGTGTTAGGTCAGAGGTTGGACTCGATGATCTTGAGGTCTCTTCCAACCTAGAAATTCTGTGATTCTGTGATTCTGTGACAACCCTGGAGACTTGTCCTGTTACAGCAAATCCTTAGATGGAAAGCATCACCAGCAGCCCTGGCACAAGCAAACCATGCTGGTAGTGCCTGATCCCACACCATGCAGTGTGGGCACCAGCACATACCCTTTCCCATAGTGGGTGCTGAGCACTCAGAGACCTGTGCAGCAGTTAGCTGGCACCAAGGAGCTTCTCCAGCTGGAGCATTGACTGCATTAGGGAGCTCACCGGATTTGAAATCAAAGGATGTATTTCAGTGCATAGGTCCCATGCCTCCCTCAAACAGGAAGCAAATGACAAGGCTGACACAACTGAAATCTTTGACTTGAGATCAGGGTTTCATTCACAGGCTTGAATGAAGGTCACCTGCAGAGAATAAACACTCCAGGTGTTAAGGGGTCTTTCTAATAAGAACAGCATTGCCCATGGGCCATCCACTATTTACTCCAGTGACCTTTACATCTGTTGCTTCTCATATGTATAGTTAATTTTCGAAACATCTTGTATTCTGGATAGATATGACAAGGAATAACACAGTCATTACTAAATACTTACTGTGTAAGCCTTCTTCCCACCAGCGTGTAGTCTCAGTGTCGACCCCAGTCACTCCTGGATTGAAATTCCCATTCATCCAGATTTCAGACCAATGTAGCAGTGTGCAGGTACATGGACTGAAATTGGAAAACATGCTTCAGAAATTTAGAACTACACCACTCCATTCATTGCATCCCATTTCTTTCTGTTTGAATGTTAATTAATGGAAAGAGAGAGAAAGTAGGCAGTACCTGCCAATGTATGTAAGACTAGCCCGTCAGAGATGTCTTTGAGCCCATGTGCAATTTACTAAAGATTTTAATAACAGATGTTCACCCAAGAGTCATGCATAATAACAATAATCTTATCTAAGTATGCAGAAAGCAGATAGACCCAAAATAGATTGTCGTAGGGTGCTGATGGCTTAGACAGTCTAACAATTTTGTGGATTTATTCAATTATTTATCTTAGGAGCTATAAATATTCATAACGTTCATGCTGGAAACAATGAGAAAGTTTTGGACATCACATTTCTCATAAAGTTCTTCCAATATTTAGTAAGATTTTTTCATTGCTTTCAAATTCAGACTTCACACTCAACAAGGCTCCATGTGCTTCATTTATACAGTCTTTGCATAGCATCAACTTTTTCTCTGTTGCTTGAGGCTTTTTGCATAGTAATTAAGCCAGTCCTCCATATTATGTGGGCAAAAATGATAATGTGAACGTAATTACAAATTTTTAATGAGAAGATTTTCATTCAGTCTATTCACAGGCCAAGGCGGGATCAAGGTGCACATGTTAAACTTAAAAATGGGACATTTTTTCTCCCTCTTTCAGTGACAGGTTGGAGCAGAAGAAATATGTGGACATCCTGACTTAGAGGCAGCTCTTCCATCATTACAGTAGGAAGTGGTTGCAATTTCAGAAGCTCATTTAATAGATCTGGGAAGAACTCAGTGTTTTCATGTCACAGCAATTTAAATGACTATTTTTGAAAGGCTTCAGTCCATTCTAACAAATCCCTGCTTTTTATTTAAGTTTTGGGTTCACATTCACTCAACATCTCAAAAAAAAGCTCAGTTTAAACAGATCAAAAAGTTTGTAAGTGGATTTCTACCTTCAGAGAAAAAACGGAAAGTGGGTCTGAAATATGGAAAACTTTTCTGCCAGCCTGATGCAGTCTAAGCAGTGTGGTTGGTAATGAAGCAAAGGCAGGCCAGGTTTTGCAAATTTCATTTGTTCTTGGCCACAGCGGTACTATTATTACAGCAGACACAAGTGATTTTGTCTGAAATTAAGATCTACCAACCTCCTCCTTTTAAAAATACTGCAGAAGGTGGTATCTCTGAGCACAAAATAGCCTGTCTCTTCATTTGCATTCCATATCTATGAAGTATAAAATGAGGACTGTATGGAACATCTATATTACTTGTAATTACTGGCATAAGAGAAGAGGGGAAAGCATTAATACAAAGCAATCATTAAAGAGGAAAGCAAGCTAAAGCTGCCTACAGTGCAAGCTTTTCCACAAAGCATGAAGTTACCTCACAGAAAAAATAAAATAAAATAAAGTAAAAAAAAAAAAAAAAAAAGTGAGACATATGTAGCTAAATTAATTTAAAATCCAAAGGAAACATCAGATTTTCTTCCTGTGCTTTTGTTGGTTTAACTTAATTTTTGTGGCTGATGTAACAGGCAGCAAGTAAGTAGATGAAGGTGGCAGGAAAAGAAACATGAAGGATGCACTGGACATGCCATTTTAGGAATAAGCCCCTCTCCCCCCATTGTGAGTGTGGAAGCAACTCTTCGGATCTCTATGCCTAGGAACATACAGGCAATATGACTCTGAGGGCAAAGTCCATTTATACTTCAGCCTGATGTGCTTTTTCTTGTCTCAGCTGTGGAGCATAAAGATGGCTAGAATATCTTGCACCAGCACAGAAACTGCATCTAGGAAGCTGACATCCATTGGGGATCTTAACTGCCTTTTTCGTGATAAAGCTACTTCTGTGTTTATATTTGAAGTTGTGCCTTTGGGGCTAAGTGTACAGTATTAACCAATGTTTGCATAAAGTTTTAGAGTACATTATGTGGTGTTATCGTTAGTAACATTATTATTAACACAAGGATAATGACACAGTTTTCCAGTTTCCCTGACTTATTAACCTCAGTGGGAAAAGTATTTACCACAGAAAAACCTTGTGTGGGTGTCACGCTTTGGTGGTTTATGGTCATTTCAGTAGTTTCAGTTGTGAGAAACAATTGTTCAATGAGCTCAATAGAGATCCTAAGAGACACATGTAAGATATTTTCCAGAATTCAATGAGAAGTACACGCTTTGTCAACTCCTGACCATCTGTTCTTGCATATTTTTTTAGTTCTAACTGTTAAACTTACGTAAGTCACAAATTGAATCACTGGGATTAGGTTAAGAAGTGATTGTGCATTACTTGTTATTGAATTCTTTCATTGAAGATGCCATACCAGGTCAGGTTTCATTTCCAAAACGTATCTGGCCCAAAACCTTGCCAGCCCCATCTCCTAAGGTGGAAGAGTCACTTTGCAGTATGCAGGGAGAGATTTTCATGAGCCTTTTTCATGGTTTGGGTCACCATGCTGAAGCAATCCTCTGACCAGGCTCCTCTTGGTGGCCTGAAGACAGACATGGAGAAGAGGGACAGCACTGATTGCCTTGCATGTTGAGTCCTCACAGCATCTTGCAAAATGTTTTTATCTGCTAGAGCCTCACAAAGAGGTGCTCAATCTGGCCAAAACTCTGACCCACTATTTCTGAGACTATCCTATCATCGCATTAATTGCATGGAAGACAATCCCCATGTGCAGGTTCAGACCGAGACCCTGAGACACAGAGATGTGCTGGCATCCATCCTGGCCAGCAGGTCATTGGTATCTGCTGTGTGCGAGGCAGGCTGCTACCTAGCAAGCACAGTGAGAACAGAGAAGTTCAAAGACTGAGCAGTAGTAAAGGTCAGAGCCTCATTCATATTTCCTGTCAGATCAGCAACCCAGTCACTTTCATCTGGGCTGTTTGACAACTGGAGAGATTGGAGTTGACACAAATTCTTGACTGTGTCATTTTACTCAACTGAATCTTCAGAAGCATATTTTTCCTTTTAAGTTTTGGCCTTTGTTGCGAGGCATGAGTCATACCTTTGTTTTTTAATCTCTTTCAAGATTTTTTTTATTATTTTTTTTTAAAGCAGGCAGGGGAAAGACTACAACAGAAAAAGATCAGTATCATACAAAAAGTAGAAAGAATGAATGTGAGAGCAAGCAGAGGTGATAAATCCATGACCATAACTGGATTTATTTCAGACAAACTGAGATTTGGATTGGATTACTCAAATGCTGGAGGTTAAATATGGGAAAGTATCTATCTATAACGAGCTATGAAACTCATGATCTCATTGCCTGAGCTCTGTCTACAGAAAGCAGAAAGAGGGGCAACTCTGGAGGAATTATCACCCCACTCCTTTCAGGCACCTATTTCTGGACTGGAGAAATTACCCCCTGATTCACCTCTTTCTCTCCATTGACACCAAGGATTATGCCCAGCCCTTGGGCAGCTGTAGTAGTAGAGATGTCTGATGCAGGCATGGAGAAGTGGATTTGATTCATTCAGCCTCAGTCAGCCCTCGGGTGGCCATTCACACCTCAGCTACTTACCTTCAGCCTGTGCTTTTCTCAGGAGATAAAAGAGAACACGATAAGGAGTTAAAAGGCATTTGTTGGAGATGTAAATGGTGTGGATTAGATATGTCCCAAAGGGGTAGCCTACCCTAGAAAACTGGATGTGTTCCAGAGCGTGTAAGTTGCTGTGATGCTGATCACAACTGACCTGACTGTGCAGAGCAGGAAAACAGTGCAGAGCACTTAACAGAGAACTTGGCCACCACCATGTCCAAGCAGTGCAAAATGAAAGGTAACAGCCACCAGCACCAAAGCTGTCCTTTTTCTGTTTTTCTTGTTGTTGCTGTTGTTTGAGAAGTGGGCATGCGACTAATCTGAAGCTGGTAGGTGAAAGGGAAAAACTATCTCACTATAAAAGAAATGTCAGTGGACAAAGCTGTGGAAAGCTTTGAAGAGTATTTGATGCATGAGCTGGAATTACACAATCTGAAAAATAGGACAAGGCGCTGCCCAAATCCAGTCTACCTTGTTGTACTCCTTAAGCAAGGTCAACAATATGTTAAAATCCAAGATTAACCCTACCATGTAAATTATGCGAAAAAGTAAAGGAGCAAAGGAGTTTCTGAGCCCACCCCCAAAAACTAACCAGAAGGTGCAGCATTTTCACTCCCTGAGCACACATCACTGGAAGATCCATCATCCTCCCAACACCAGGCCAGCCTAGGAGGTCAATCTCGGATGCGTGCCCACCTTGTGCCCTTGGACACAGCAATCCTCTGCAGCCACTGTCCACAACCAAAGATCAAGAGGGAAAGCAGAGCTGTGGAAATGCAAGCTAAGGGGACACCTATCAACACATCCATAAGGCATCTGGAAATGAAGACTCCCACTAGATCAATACTAAGCAATTAAACATTAATACTCAGGTTAACATATCTACTGGAGATTTCTGAATAAGTTAGCCCACCATCAGAAAAGTCATGAAGATAGTCAGCAAAATAATTCTATATAATTGTTAGGTTCTTAAGAAAATATACTCCTGTGTTCCTGTATGTAAGAACCTACATCTTCAAACCCTCTTTTTTCTACATTTTTCGTCTTTTTTTTTTTGTTTTGTTTGTTTGTTTGTTTTGTTTTGTTTTGTTTTTGTTTTGTGCTTTTGACCTCATGACATCATGTTGGTACACAGAACCCATTGTGATCAAAAAGTCTCTCAGGTCATCTTCTGTAACTGTTGTAGCAGGCTTTATAAAGTAAACTAAATGCCTAATAATCAGTGCCAGCATTCCTAGACATTTGCAATTACATTCTTTCAAAATTATATTGTCTGGAAATGCCATGTCTAATTAAAATGTACTAATAACCTTAAATGGATTAATTTTCTGACTCTCCTTAATCTATTAATATTAATAAAAATAAGTCAGACTCTATCTTTCTCTGTATACATTAATTCATTCATATTAGTGGAAATTAATACTGGAAAATGTTCTCTCAGCTGGCTATATTATATCGAAGAAAATCCCTAAAGTAATTATGCTAACATGCCATGTTGATAAGCATACAATAAACACCTGCAGAAATAGCTTTGAATTAACTAAATTTATGAATACCTTGATATGTAATTCATTTCCTTTTCCATTTATATTCTTTAGGGTTTACTGAAGATGTTCATTTAGCTAGTGTTTCAGTAAATATCTGGTGAAACTGACTATAAAATGAGCTTTTATAGATGCCTTTTTTTTTCAGCCTAGCTCTTCCATTTTTGTACTGTAGTATTTGTAACACCATATTAAGATTCATAGAATATAATATTTTAAGAGCAATAGGATATCCTGAGTTGGGAGGGACCCACAAGGATCATCAGATCCAACTCCTGGGTCCCCAAAGGACTACCGAAAAAAAATCAGACCCTATGTCTGAGAATGTTGTTCAAATGTTCCTTGAACTCTTGGAGGTTCTATGCTGTGACCACTGCTCTGGGGAGCCTGTCCAAGTGCCCGACCACCTCTGTGTGCAGACCCTTTCCCTAACCCCCAGCCTGACCCTCCCCTGTCCCAGCTCCATGCCGTTCCCTCGGGTCCTGTCGCTGTCCCCAGAGAGCAGAGCTCAGCGCCTGCCCCTCCGCTCCCCTCATGAGCGGACATTGCCTGACCTATCTTCCAGTGGCCATACAATTTCTTTTTCCATCTAAACTCTAGAAGAAAATCCCTGCTCAGCCAAGCTGACCTTCTGGTCTGCTTGCTAGACTTCCAGTATCTTGGAATTGCCTGTTCCTGTGCTCTTAAGAGATGGTACTTAAAAATTGACCTGCAGTAATGAACTCCGATATCTTCAAAAACAGACCTTACTAATTAGTTCCCTGAGCAGCCTGAAGTCTGCTCTCCCTATATCCAGGTTTGAAGTCTTGGTGGCACTTTTCCTCCTATTACCAAAGACTTTGAACTTGACTGCCCAATGGTGACTATTTCCAAGACAGCCACAGAACACCACTTCTATGAGACCCTCTCTGTTTACAAGCAACAAATCTAACAGGGCTTCTTGTCTAGTCAGCTCCCTTTGTACTTGAACAAGAAGTCATCATCAAGGTTTTTTAGGAATCTCCTGGACCTGTTTATATCAGCTCTGTGTCACTCCAATTTATGGCTGGCAATTTGAAGTCCCCATAAGGACATGTGTGGCTGATCTAGAAGTAACTTTTAGTTCCTTAAAAATAGTTATTCTGTGCTGTCATACTGTCTGGGTGAATTATCACAAGTAAGTAAATTACCACAACCAAATCTATTTAATTTGACTGTCCTTTAATCCTTACCCAGAGGCTCTCAACCTTGTCATCTCCAGCTGTAAGCTCTCTACAGCCCAGCTCTGCCATTACAAACAGCATCACCACCCCACCTCACCTGCCTTGCCCATCCCTTCTGAAAAGCCTGTAACCATCTACCATAACACACCAGTCACAGGCCTCTTCCCACCAGGTTTCACTTATGTCACTGATGTTTTAGCTCTGGGACTGAGCCAAGGCTTCTAGCTCCTCTTGCTTGTTCCTCACACTGTGTGCACTGGAGTAGAAACATTTCAAATGTGTTTCGTTGTACCCAGCACCTCATGGAGCAGACTGGAGAATCTCACTAGCATACAGTCCCTCAGATTTTGGCATACCATCCCATAGTTTATAGCTGATAAGCCTACTTTTATCCCTTCCCCTTCAAATCTAGTTTAAAGATCTGTTGATCAGCCCTGCTATCTCCTCTGCAAAAATCCTTCTCCCTCTCTGAAAAAGGTACATCCCATTAGGTACCAGCAGGCCTGGTGTTGTGTTGCCCATCCCATGATTGAGAAACCCAAAATTCTGCAGGTGACACTGTCCTCAGAGCTACATATTGATCAGCTGGTTCTGCCTGTTTCTTTCAATATTGTTCTCTGCAACTGAAAGGATAGAAAAAACATTAACCATGTGCCTGATCCTTTAACCAATTGCCCCAAAGCTGGTTGACTGTCCTTGGACATCAACTACTTGGACATCAACTACTCCTCCAGAAAGCATGTTCCAGTGTTTGACCACCCACAATTTAAATATAAGCATGTATTTATGTGTGCATGTATGTTCTTATTTGTGTTTGTAGGTACATGTACATGCATAGTGTATGTACAGAAATATGTGTGTACAATATAAAATACACATACACTATTGTAGACATACACACATAGAGGGAAATGATAGGTATATTGAACAGGGCATTGCTTATAACTAGAAACTGAACACATTTATCCCATAAATAATGCACTTAACTAGTTAAAACAGCACAGTCTGCGCAACCCCAGAGCGTTGTACTTGCTATCTCTGCTCCTGCCATGGTGCCTGATTCAGCTGACTGAAAGAGACAGAACCCTGGAAGGAAATTATGTAAGGACTCTGGAGCACCTACATAGGGATGTACTCTGGCATGCCAAAAGTAGGCTAGGGCAGCTGAGGACACAGGCTCTCATCAATCCGCAGAGAGCTGACAGTGACCAAGGGGCCAGAAGTGTCATGCGCAGTGTGAGGTGGATCCTGGAAAAAATGTTCAGCAGACTGTAATTGCTATGATAATGAGTTTAAATAATAATTTGTGAAATGTGTAGGTTTGGAAATTTTTCTCAATTAACTTTTTCTTTCTATTGTAGTCTTTAAATACATATGTAAATTTTGGCTTACTTGGTGAGTACACTCCTGCCAGACCAGGGCTCTAGCAGATATGAAACTCTTCTGTTCTCTTGTCCTCTCATTCCACACATCGGATTCAAATAACTTTGCTTTTTCCATTTTCTTGGATTCTAAAGTGCAGTATGCCAAAGGGCTGAAATCATGAAAGACAAAATTGCAAAACAAAAAATATTTTCTACATGCCTAGCATAGCAAGCAATAGTGGTCGGTTTTGTTTGTTGTTTTTGTTTTCTTCTGTTTATGGTTATTTTTTTTATTTTGTTTTGTTTGGTTTGGTTTGTTTTTTTTTTGTTGTTGCTGCTTGTTTGCTTCTTTCTTTCTTTCTTTCTTTAAGAAAGGCAGTTAGCATCTCTGGCTAATTAGCCTGGGAGCATTTAGTTCTGGACAATGGACTATTGCCATCTACAGCACCAAGCAGCAATTTAAATGGGCAACACTCTTTATAGATTGAGAAAGCATCAGATTTTGCTTCCAGAAGGTAAGCACACTCACAGCTCAAAAGGGAAATGTGCTACAAAATCTGCAAATTCAGTAATCCACTCAGTTTCTTTCAACAGTATTTTTCAATGGGGTGTAAACTGTTGTATGCCTTTGAAGAGAAGTCTGCGACTGTGCTTCCTATCTTAATGCTATTTGGACACATACATATTAATGTCAGGCAGCACTGTGCTTCTTTGGGTCAGTTACAAATTAAATTAACTCAGAATCAATACACATGAAACTGAATGGATTCATAACAGGTGTCTCTGGTTTAAAATGAGAAATCTTTTGAAAATGGTAAAATTTAAAATAGCAGGAAAAAAAATCAATCTTGAGTAAAATAGGATATTTTTTTTGTTTGTTTGTTTGTTTTTAAATGGAAGGGGTCTGTGAGGAATAAGCAATAATATGGTTCCTGAATTTTATAAATGACCAGTGCTATGGTCAATAAATTATTTATTTTTTCTTTCTTATTTTATTTATTCATTTTTTCTTTAGGTATAAAGCTATAGTAAGACCAATGGAGATCCAAGCGTCCCATGCGCTGATGAAGATCTGTGTGAGAGCTGCTATCATCTGGATTGTCTCCATGCTGCTTGCCATCCCTGAAGCAGTATTTTCAGATTTGCACCCTTTCCATGACAAAGGGACTAACAAAACCTTCATCAGCTGTGCTCCTTACCCACATTCTGATGGGCTGCATCCAAAAATCCACTCAATGGCATCATTTCTGATCTTTTATATCATTCCTCTATCTGTCATATCAGTATATTATTATTTCATTGCTAAGAATTTGATCCGGAGTGCTTACAACATTCCCGTGGAAGGAAACTTACACGTGAGAAAACAGGTACAGAATTGGCTTTCTTCAAAAATCCACATTCCTGATGAATCTAATAGCAAAGAGGGCTCATACAGGGAAAATGATATGATGGCAGACTGCATCTGTTGTGCTAATTTTATTAGACCGTGGGCTAAAAGAATTGCAGTGGTTGACACAAGCTGTGGCACAACATTAAAGACATCTCATGTTTCTAACTATGGAGACTCTGACAGGGTGATTACCACAACAAACACAGCAGGAAACTCAGGCCAGAGCCTGGGAAGGTATTGACTAGGATGCAGGAGATTGGGCAGAGATGAGCATGGTGTTGTGAGAACAAAGATGAGGGGTGGCATGGCAAAAAATCAAAACTTATCAATGCTCCTTTATCAGAGAGAACCTTGGATAATGTCTTGCCTCACAAAGCAGTCCCTCTTCATGCAGAAGGAAAAAACCAACTCTAATTCAGTCCTCAGCATGGAGACATGAAAATGGGGTGTCATCTGCTGGTGCTGTGCCATGCAGAGAAACCAGTACAGGCTGGAGAGAGACTAGGGGAGTGGAGACAGGAGGAGAACAGTGCTGTTCACAGGGTCCCCAGGAAGGAGGACAGAGCAGGACAGTGAGGCCTCCTAACGGATGCACTGAAGTTATATATCTTGTGGATGGTGTAATCTTTGCAGTGGTGCCATCCAGGCTGAAGTCTTAGGAGAAAAGTAGAGACCTGTCTTCTTTCCCTGAAACCTTTCATTTATTCTCCATCTATCAATGCCTCTTTTTCTACGGTCTGCAGAGGGGAGTGGTGTTGCACAAAACAGCCTGCCCACTTGTTATCTGCCCTCTAGTAGACCAGATTGGTCAATCTTCTTCTGGTCCAGTAAGTCATACCCTCAAGTTTCACCTTAAGACTGATTTGATTTATATATGTAGGACATTTACTCTGGACCAATGCAGACTCTTAACCTCCCCTATGGATCCTCAAAAGCAGAGATATCTCTGTTACTATCACTCATGTGTATATATATATGTATATAAAATAAAATTCCCTGAGCTGTGCTACCACAGAACTCACAGCCAGGCTGGCTCAATTGGGACATATTGCAATTGAGTCTTATGCTCTGGTTGAAAATGTGTGGCTGAAAATGTGCAGGCCATGCACCTAGCTGGGGGCTTTAATCAGGATTTGTCCAACCTAATTCCAGGCTTTCAACTGCAGACTGTTCACTCTTGGCTGCTCTTTTTGTAAGCCACTAGGGAGAAAAAGTTATCTCCAGGGGTAAGTCCAAATCCTTCATGTGCAGCTGAGTGTTTCTGGTCGCTGCTTAAATTGGGATGCATCTAAGCCTTGGGCTTGTCTCAGTAAGAAAGCAACAGCAAGGTAACTTCTTCCTAAACAACTTATTTCCCTTGACAGATCCCCTTCCTTTCAACTGAGAGGTTCTTCAACCTAAGCTAAACTGACACAAGCCATTCTTCAGCTGAACAAGCGTCTGTATAATTGCACCAAGTTGACATCTCCACCTTAGGTTGACATAACACAATCATCTCTTGTAGCCTTCTGGTACTAAGTTAAAACAACTGGGATGGAAAGTTATGTTTTCTACCCATTAAGTGATGTGCTGTACCTGAAATCTTTACTATTTTTCTCTTCTGAATATGTATAAATCTTTCTCCACTGCAAGCCATTTTTTTTTGCAGATTCAGTGATTGTTTTGATTAGCAGCAATAAAGTGAGTTGTAAAAGCAGTCCTTTCCCCTTTTGGTTTTGGGGATAGTGCTCTAAAGGAAAAAAAAGTCCAGGCTACAGTCTAGCACCATCAGTCCATCATTCCTGTCCTGCTGTGCATTCAGGAGCTATAGGTCTCCATCTGAGATAACTGGTATTGATTTCTTTATTGCGTTGCTTCCTTTCTTTATAGTGCAGATGTGGCCTCAATAGCCCTGTATCAAATTAAGGATACATTTAAAAAGAATATATGGTTTAGCCATGGAGAGCCCTTTCTCGAAGGATTTAATTTTCAGACCGCTCCCTGGAGACATTATCATCTGGTACATGTCAGTTCTTTCTAAGCTCAATAGCTAGTTTTCAGTTGGTGCCATTAAAGGGGCACCAAATAAAGTCCAAATGTGCACATCAGGTCTCTCCTGCATACTCCCTCCTCTCAGCTGCCCTGAGGAAAAAACAGCCCGTGTCAGCTGCTCAGTTTCTAATCTAGCTCAGAAGTTTCTGTGTAGCTCAGAAAGTGATGAGGAGGAGGTGGCTGAAAGCCTGGCCAGGCACTGCTGCAGCACCAGCACTGGAACAAGGGCAGTGTAGCCAGGGATGGGGAAAGTTTCAGGCTATTCAGGTCATTCTCAGATACAGAGAACAAGCAGGTAGCAGAATATACTCTATATTGGGAAGAGGTGCAGAAATTACCAGCCAGGAAAATACTATGATCCCTGAAAAAGCAGCAATGTTATACTTGCTGTGCAGTATAACCCAGGGAGCAGAGCATTTCAGCAGGTCTTTCTGGGCAACTCCATTCCTCCTCAGTTTTGTGTGACCTCCGTCATGGATCTTGTCTTCATTAGGAAGAAACACATGTTTTTCAGTGGTGTTAACTTAGTGTGCAGCACTGGTGGACATAAGATAAGGCATGGGTTACCTCAGTTCCCCTCAGTTGAGCAATACTTTGGGTTGACTCCAAGCCTGTACATGTAAGGAAAACAAAAGTGTGGCTTGTTTGTGTGAAGGTTATACCGCGAGCTAGTTGACATCATAGCACCTTCCCCTCGGGTGGATACAGCTGTGCTGAGAGGTGTTTGGTCATCCACCTGGTCACCCTCTATAGCCACCTGCTCCTTGTGACCCCAGCTCCTTCGGCTGAAGGGTCCACTGTGCTGCTGCCTTGGTGTTTCTGTAGGCACAAAATCTCCTCTCTTGACTTCTCCAGTTCCTTCAGTCTCTGAGCACTGTGTTTGGTCTCCAAGGGCTGTAAACTCTTGGCAGCACATTTGTGTACATATACCACATGGCCCCAAGGCAGAAAGTCCTGCCTCTGGGCTCTGTGAAATATCCCAGACCCTTACTCCATAATTAATATTAATATTTATTAATATTTTTTTCTATATATTACATAGCATTGTATGTTATATATGGGTAACTTGTGCAGGTGTCATGTGCACCCTAAGGTGCAGCACTGGGAAAAACAGTTAGCTGTAGGTCCAAGCTAGGGATATCTGCTAACCTGCATTTCTCTTTCTTCTTCCAGATTGAATCCCGTAAGCGCCTGGCCAGAACAGTACTGGTCTTTGTGTGCCTCTTTGCCTTCTGCTGGCTCCCCACTCACATCATCTATTTATATCGGTCCTACCACTACTCAGAGGTGGACACCTCAGTGCTGCACTTCATCGCCAGCATCTGTGCTCGGATCCTGGCGTTCACTAACTCTTGCGTCAACCCATTTGCTCTCTACCTGCTCAGCAAGAGCTTTCGGAAACAGTTCAACAACCAGCTGTTCTGCTGCAGAGCTCGCCTCCTCATCCGGTCCCAGAGCATGGCCAGGAGCACCACCCGAATGACCTCCCTCAAGAGCACCAACCACTCCCTGGCCACCTTCAGCCTTATCAATGGCAACCACATCTGCCATGAAGGCTATGTCTAAAGCAAGCAGCTGAGGACCACTGCACTATGTACTTAGTGCAGCTGCTTGGTTCTGCTCTGTGGGGATGCTGAGTAGCACACATGCATGCACACGTATGTGTGAGGAAATCTGATGCGCTCTGAGAATGAACTCGGAGGAGCTGGAAGCATCCAACATTTCATCCCAGACTGCGGCATGTCTGGATCGGCAGGTCATTTAGCACCTGCCCGCAGGAGTTCCCTGGGGTGGCCTGCATTGCTTCAAGACCCACTGCTTTTAACGAGCATGAAGTGAGCGTTTTAAGATCAAGTCTAGTTTGGCTCCGCCAGTTCTTCATCACATTCTGCTCAATCCCAAACTCAGACAGACTTACAGCAATGATAAAGACTACACCAAGTGCACAAAATTCATTAGAACAGTTGCATCCAGCAGTTCATGGCTAATATTTTTGACACCAAAATAAATCCATTTAAATAAGGTAAATACTTTTACAAAGGAGTTCAGTGTAGGTCATTTACAGACTTTTCAAGTATTTATTAAAGTTCGGAGTACAGTATTAATTCATGGTATAAAAAATATCAAGAGTTTACTGGGGTATGTTGGTGGCCCCATCTGAAATAAATGAGCAGTATCTTGCACTACGTCAATGTGAAAGCAGTAATGTAAATAAATGTGAGTTGGAATATGTTTACAGTTTTCAAATGTGTGAGCTTTTGCCATGTTATGGAGGAGACAGAAGGGCATTTTCCAAATGTTACTACTTTGCTATTCCTGTCTTCAAGGTGGGAGATAGCGAATGTGTTTCGTCATCTACGGAGTACCACAGAAGTTTAGTCGGGTCTGGCTAGGGGTAGATTATCTAACAGAAAATGAAGAGCAGCCACTTTCATGCAGTAATGCTTTGTGAAACTCACCAGTTATGCAGTAGAAGCCATCAGCAATGCAAGGTCCAGTCTCTGGCCTACAGTTTTTTCCTTCTATCTTCACAGAAATCTGTGGAGACTGAGTGACAAGGCTGGTTGGCAGCCTGGTGAGGCAGGCCCCCTGTAATGTTCACTCCAGAGCAGATCTTGTGCCAGGCACCAGCTGTCCTGGAAACAGGAGCACCATGTCCTGCAGATAACAAGCTCTCGAAGCGTGTGGACGTATAGGACAGGCAATGAGGCTGCACACCTGATAAAGCAAGCTGCAACAAATGAGGCCATAAACCAATCCCTGCAGCGGAATATTGAGTTTTTAATGGCCCTTGTCCTCTGTGAGGATGATCCTGTTTCTTAGCATGGCAAAAGAAAAATGAAAGCTAGTAAAACTTTGTGTTAGGCTTGCTGGGTGAATGTCAAAAAGGTGTGCAGCATAATCGCACTCAGCCTGGCATCCATAGGTGCCCAGGGATGCTGGCAGGACCTACTGTCTGCAGGGGCTGCAGGCTCAGAGAGTAGTTCTCCCCAGGTGAGGATCTCCTTGCCTGAAAAATTAACACAGTGGGGTCATTTTCCAGCTGAGTCCACTCTCTTTCTTGTCCAACTCTGTAGCAGTGGCGTTAATTGCAATTCACTGGGCTGTCTGAGGCCTCAGTTGCTGCCATTTCAGCAGGATGGTGCTTTCCCTGAGCTGTAACATGAAGCTCCTGTTGACCAGCCTGGTCTGTGATCACTTCAGAAAGTTTGTTTGGGTTTTGAGCTGTTCACGGTATTTCAAAATGAGAAGAATATATCTTGCTTGAGACTTTTTTACACTAAACATTTTCTTCAGCCATGTAAGTATCTCATGGAAAGCAAGCAGGAATTGCACATTTCACCCACAGCCACAGTGACTGTGCTGCCTTGTGTGTCCGGACTGGTAATGAACAACAGATCACTGTTGCTCTACAAGAGAATTCAATAATTTCTGAATTCATGTTTCTGAGGGAAAGGGGAAAACACAGCGCTGATGTGAACAAATTGTAAACATGGGGAAAAGAGCACTGGCTGTAGCTCCCTCAGGGCTGCAATGAATATGGCTACGCTGTTTTGAGCACAGCAGAATTATGAAGATGCGGCACCATGGAATTAAACAAGTGCTGTGGGTTTCACCCTTTTCTTCTTAACAAAGTTAGTGACCCCCCTGAGGACAGGAAAGAGGGGGTTTTGGCTCTCATTTGGAAAGTGTTTTCCAACAATGCAGCTGCAGGTGTTCGCATGTGTCACAGCCACACCATTGCTTCATTTCCTCACTATTCCTTTTTTTTTTTTTTTCCTCCATTTATTTTCAGAGCTCATAGGAAAATCTTTAGAGGCAGCTCCATGTAAAATGTAAAACTTCCATTGAAACCTAAAATGCCTTCAACTTCTTCGAGTTTTCAGCAATATGGGGCAAGCCTTTTCAGTGGAAAACTAGAGTAAATATTTTCAATGAAATTCTTTATTTTATTCAAATCCCACCCCAGTCCCAATTTAATATCTTTAAGAAAATGTGGTGCTTTTATGAAAACAAAACAAAAAAAAAAAAGTGAAAAAGTTCATGGTTAAAAAAAAATAGTTTTTTTGAATGTATTTCACAAACTTGCATTTGTTTTTTAATACCTCAGAAAGAGCAAATCTGAGCCTGGAATTATTCCTATTTCATCCCTGTGTTAAAATAATTAAAACACTCGATGCACCAGTTGAGGTCAGGGAAAAGAGAACCCAAGAAAGTTTTCAGAAATATCCTAGCACATCACTGCATTAGTTGTAGCTGTAATTAGTTTTCTGCCTCTTGCTTCTTGTCTCATTACCTTGGTTTCAAAAACATGATGTACTTTATACTGGTGCAACAGTCCAACTCCTTATCTAGAGCTATTTCAACGTTTGCTGGCACACCTGCAGTGCCAATTCTTTGAACCTGGAGCGTTGTCTGCAGCATTGCTTGCGCTCAATACATTTTCAAAGAGCACAAAGATAAAGTCCCTGCCTGGCAAGCGACTGCAGAGACATGTACTCAGATGCTGCCCGCTCCTTGGATATGCTCTGGTTTAGGATAGGGAAAAGCCTGGGGACCACATCGGTTAGGAAATGCTGCATTAAAAGGCTCTGAATACCAGTTTTCCCAAAATTCTGCAGCATGTGGGTGGGGGACAAGTGGCCCCTGGGTCAGGCTGCTACATGTCACACAGTGGGGAGTGCTACTTTCTACTATGAGGATGCAGTGCTTTCATCCTGGGTCAGAAGTGCCGCAGGGTTATTAAATACATGTAGCTGCCATTAGATGAATCAGTGTGAAATATGAAACTAATGTTTAACAGGGACATCTTGAGTTCTGTCCCTGCTTTCTCAGGACAGATTAAATAGGGCAAAAGGACAAAACATTGTTCTTCATTAGGAAATTGAATTTTCTGAAATTCCTGAATTCCTTTTGCTCCCACTGAAGGTAGTGGGAGATGAAAGCAGTGAATAAATCACAGCTTTCAGCTGTTCCTGCTTTAGGATTATTAAGCACTGTTTTGGTTAAAAATGTTTTCTCATCAGTTTTGAAAATCACTGCAAAGAATCAAAGAGATTAGAAACAAAGAATGAAAAAGAACAGAAATTTTCTAAGACTGACACCAAGTAAAGGTTTCAGAGTTCTCCAGCTCTGCCTACAAAAGAGTATTTGTGTTGCTGTGTTTCCACATATTGCCTTTTAGGAAATGTTTAAGTATGAAAAACCAAATGCATGTGATTCTGCTGCATGGTAACAGTAGTTGTAAGAAGAAAAATGATGGAAAAGAAGGGTTGTATTGTTGAACACAAATATTTATTTCAGGTCGAAAAAAGACACCAAATGTTGTATAAGATAATGAATATTTCTTTGTGTTAAACAAACGAAAAATAACTTGAAAATCCTCTATTTACCTAACAAGAAAACATATGTGTGATCCTGATTCCCCTAATTAATTTGATTTGTATGGAATGAACGTTTTAGTTGCAAAACAGAAAGATTGCATTTTTATGCATGATCTGGCAGAAATAATATACCTTCTTACTCATTTTTTCTGACAAAATACATTTTTTTTTTCTTACAGCAGAAAACCATCTGTGTGTATTCAGTTGGGGAACAAAAACAGTCTTTCAGCCTTCTTTAAAGGCGAGAAGTTCAGTGCAGCTTATCTGAGCAGTAAGCAATCCCCTGAATGTTAACTGTGCAGCTCATTGTTAGTGCTAGGCACCACAATGATAAGAGGGCAGCTTACCCTCTCCATCCTGGGAAATCACAGCAGTTGATGGGCCTGTATCATTCTTCAATAAATCGGTAGAGATCTCATATATCACCATATCTCCATTTCCAAGAGAAAGAAGGCAGGAGGCAAAGGAATATTTAGATGACTTTATTCAAACCTGATAGCTTTCTGCATGTTTACTGAAATATTTGTGCTATCTTTAGCCCTTTTTTTTTTTTTTTCTATGACAGCAGGTTTATACATGCTGCTATCTTTTAAAAGCATGCATGTAAAGAAACAACCGATTTGGGCCATCTATAAATTGATATTCATTTACGATCATAGAATAGGCAGTAGGGCAGTAAAATGCATTTTAGCTTGGGTAGCTACAGTCACAAGAGAGCTCAGCCATCCTGCAGGCAGCTCTCTGTAGCAGATGGTGAGCTGGATGAGCTGTTCTTGCAGCAGCCCTCCCTTATTCACAGCATTTCTTGCACAAGGGCTGTACAGCTCACAAGCACAGATCTGGAAAAGACTGTTGCCCCTAAGCCAGTGGCCCTGCACCATCTGGGTTCCCATACATCTATTCTGGGAAGACCTCCTTGTTTCCCAGACCCTCTCTCTTCCCAAACGACCTGGCAGGGTTTCACCCCTGCTCATCCTGCCTGTAAGCAGCTACACAGGAGGAGCACGAGGCTGTGGGCACAGCATCCTGCAGAACCACAGAAAAGAGAGGCTCATCTCCAAATCAAACTTCAGGCATCCCAAGTGCTGTTGGCTTGGGTCAAAAACTCTAACAACTTATTCCTTCTCTGTAACAGTTTCCCTAGAAAACATGAATTTTATTTGTATGGGCCACCTTGAAAGCAGTGGACTTTGATATGGGTTCACACTTAACCCAAGAGTCCTCACCCAGTTATGGCATCTGTGTAGGTCATGCCACAGACGGGGTGTAAGTGTCCCCTTTGGAAAGAGCCCCCCCCTTGGGATGTCCATCTCTGCTGGTTGGCTGGATGGTATTTATGTCCCTACCTTGCACTTCATCATAATCCATCACTGCAATAGTAAAATCTGTTAAGAATAGAGACTAAATACCACCCCGCTTTCTGCTAAGATTATCAATGAAGATTACGTCTAATTTTATATTAAAATCACATCCAAAACTCATTTTAAAAGTGCCTAATTGCTTGTTTCTGGAAATAGCTACTTCAGACAATTTCTGTGATTAGTTTGATTATTTCACCATAAGTAGATATGAATTAAAGAGAACCGATCATAGAATTCTTTTGAAATAAAGGATTTAATCTGTTTTAATGTAAATTAATTACACTTCATGGTAAAATGCCTGCCTTATGCTGAACATCTTTTAGTAAGTGCTACTGCGTGTTTTCAAGAAAAGTCAGTCCCTTACATCCTTCCAATAAGATGCTTTGAAACAGATGAACCTGGGCTTTGTGCCAGCACTTCTAGCTCCAGAGTCAGACAGTGTATTATTGCTGTTCACACCACCATTCCTCTGCAGCCTCCTGTTAGT